ATGTACAATTGCCCTAGAAGTTAAAGTTTTTATCTTCTTAACTAGTACTAAGAGTTTTTGTTTCAAATAAAGACCCATTTTATTGATCAGCTATCAACATTTATAGTTGCGAAGCACGACACACATGGGAAAGTAAAATATGTATCCTCGATACTATAGACTAGAAATGTAAATGTAAGTTATCTTTTTCATAGGTGGACTATCTTACTATAATGGGAATAGTCGGGTCAGCACCTGGATAGGATTAGGAGAGTGGGGGTAGAGCAGCATGTTTTCTTGAGTTACTCCCTGCCCCCAAGCCCCACCTGCTCCAGGGGCATCTTTGGAAGACCATACTGTGGATCTCTTCATTGTGGTGGTTCATGCTCAGGGTGACGGTAGCACAGAATTAAGCAAATTAATTTGAGCTCTGACCAGCACTGCCGTAGGGCTAACAAACCAATTCTCTGGGGTCGGCCAGACCCCATTCTTTCGTTCTGGTGGGTTCTCGTGTAACAGACCAATTGTGACAGTCACTAAGATTAAACCAGTGATGAAATTAAGAAAAGCTTCTTCTACCACGCCCCCCCCCCAAAAGAAAAAGAAGATATTTTTGTCACTTCAAAAATAATCTTTGAAATTTATATTGGAAAACTGCACTCTGTTAACTGAGATTAAGACTACCCTTTTAGGGGCACCTGGGTGGTTCGGTCGGTTAAGTGTCCGGCTCTTCATTTCAGCTCAGGTCGTGATCTCGCTGTTCCGTGAGTTCGAGCCCCGCATGGAGCTCCTTGTGGACAGTGCAGAACCTGCTTGGGAATTTCTCTCTCCTTCCCTCTTTGCCCCTCCCCTATATGAGCATGTGCGTGTTCTGGCTCTCTTTAAATAAATTAATTAATTAATAAAAATTTTTTGAAAAAGACTACCCTTTTAAAATACAGGAATATAATGCCTTTTAAAATATTCAAAATAGGATTTCTGTCTTAAATAATCTTAGTATAGTAACGGTCTATTCTGTGTACATGTTAGGTAGGTTTTATTGCAGGACGAGTGATGGTCATTAATTTTAGATTTATAGATGCAACGAACAAAAACAAACACTGCCAGTTTTTTTTAAAAGCCAAATGGTGACACATGCTGTGTTAGAGTAGCCCAGGCGGATCAGTCTCCTTGGCAAAAGTTAAATTATATTGCTATTATTGAATTATACCCTATTGTTACTGTTCTAAGTCACCTTAAAAAAAAAATACACATAGGGGCACCTGAGTGGCTTAGTTGATTAAGCATCCGACTTCAACTCAGGTTCATGATCTCACGGTTCGGGGGTTTGTGCCCTACGTAGGGCTCTGTGCTGACAGCTCGGAGCCTGGAGCCTGCTTCGGATTCTGTGTCTCCCTCTCCCTGTGTTCCTCCCCGACTCATGCTTTCTCAAAAATAAATAAATGTTAAAAAAAAAAAAATACACCTAACTACAGTTAGATAGCTCTCTTACTAATCTGTTGTTCTGGCCAGTTAGTGCATGCTTACCCTGGTCTAATCCATAATCTTTGGTTACTTCTGCCTCCAGGAACTCCCTGTGGTTTCTTACCCGTTGCTTAGTTTTCTCAGGGTCTAGTCTGGAGCATCTGCACCAGAGTTGTGTAGGGAACCTGTAAGGGCTGTGGCCTCCGGGGCCTCCCATAGACACACCTACCCTCTGTATCTCATTGCCACACACCTCGAGGGTATGTTTGTGTCTATACGTTTATCTGAGCTACTGAAATTTTCTTTTCCATAGAAGAAACATCTACTTACCTTCTTTGCTTCCTTCCCCAAAATATAGCAGAGCAATTATCTCTAAGGTGAACAAGTTAGACTTGGCCACCAAGGTTCCAGATTTCTTTCTTTGCTGCTGGCCAGGTGCTAGTTTAATGATAAGCCGACTTCTGACACAAATTGGCTCCTTTGATGGTCGCCAGCCCAAGCATCAGCCAGGCAGAACCTTCTAAACCACACAGGTAGTAAGGGCGTTAAATAGAATGCAGTAGGTTTCATCTTCGGTTGGGGGAAATTAACCAGGGGAGTTACTTCTGTTTCATGTTGTGATAAGTATAAAGTTTACTTAAAAGTGTCTGTGTCCAGAGAAACTTAACATTTAAATGCTGAAATGGAGGGGTGCCTGGGTGGCTCAGTTGGTTAAGCATCCAGCTCTTGATCACAGCTCAGGTCTTAACCTCATGGTTCGTGGGATTGAGCCCCACATCGGGCTCTGTGCTGGCAGCACGGAGCCTGCTTGGGATTCTGTCTCTCCCCTCTCTGCCCCTTCCCAGCTCACACACTTTCTCTCTCTCTCTCTCTCTCTCTCTCTCTC